TATATATATATATATATATATATATATATATATATATATATATATATATATATATATATATATATAAAATTCTTCTGAATTAATGAACTTTCATGGTAAACATGCATTTCTACACACCTAGAAGTATTTCAAATCATTTGCCATATATTATCAAGTCACCTTTTTCCTTTTGTTGGGGAGGGGGGCGGGTTGAAGGTGGTATGGCCATAATGTTTCTTGCTTTGCAGCTGAATGTTTTTCTTTAGTTCGAGTCCCCCCAGCCCCGAACGTGACATATGTTTTCGGATAAATATTGGTCTGTAAAGATTCATGTGAAAGTATTAATGTTTGAGTTAATTTCTGTAGGTGAATGGGTCTCATGCTCTGTTGGTGCTAATTTTACACCCCATATTATCACCGTTAATACTGGAGAGGTAAAAATATTAGCCAAAGGTGGTACATTTGTGATTTTTATGGGAATTTTTCATAATTTGGTGGCGTAATGTGTCTTGAACTCTTGATTATCATACATCATATTTTATAAATTCTTTCCATAAGCAGAATTTCTCGTGGCTACCATATATATATATATATATATATAAAAGCATGTTTTAGTGACTATTATATATTGAACTTCACACACGATTGCTGATTGTTCTTTTGGTTTTCATTTAGGATGTCACGATGAAGATTATATCGTTCTCTCAACAAGGGCCTCGGGCAATATGCATTCTCTCAGCAAACGGTGTAATTTCAAGTGTTACGCTGCGTCAACCTGACTCTTCCGGGGGCACATTGACGTATGAGGTGCTGCAACTAGTGATTCTCTCTTATTTTGGTTAATCTTCTGATTTGCACCGTTTAATGTCATCGTTACCTCTGTGCTTAATATGTGATCTCTTAGATCAGTTGTTTGTCTTAAATAATTACTGGCATATGTTTAGACTTCATTTATATTTGAACAACATTGCATTTATTTATGCACATGCAAGCATGTTCTTTCCGACTCGTTCTAAGGGTATTGGTGTGGCATTTCCTCCATTGTCTTCAAGTTCATTTGTTTAGAAAAACTGGTACTTGAAACATATGTTGCTCGGACCCTTCAAAATCCCCGCCACACCTGTGTTGATCCGACATAGGTGTGGGATCCACACCGTATTTAGTCAACTTGGGTGCTTTGACTACATCTATGACCAAGAAGTATAGATTGATTGGTATTTGGTCTAGTATATATATATAGAGAGAGAAAAAAGCTATATAAAGTATGTTAATGTTTTACTATTACACGAGATAGCTTACGAATAGAATATTAGGTGTTTATAAAGAATTAAAGCTTACAGTTTTAGTTCAATAACTTTAATTAATCGAAATATATATTTATATGTGTTGTAGTATACATTTATTGACCTTATCTCAGCACCCGCATCTGCACTCAGATTCATACCCCCGAATTTTAAAATCTAAGTGATGAAAAATCCGACCTAGATCTACACCCGTATTGGGTACCTGCAACCGAGTCCGAGCAACATAGCTTGAAACCATACAATGATCTAATAATGTCATCCCTAATTGAGTGTCCTTGCCATTTTAGGCCATTTTCATAATGGTGCTAAGTTAAATTAGGTCATTAAATTTCAGAGGAAGTAAATTTTATCATCCTTTTCTTGTATGGGGTTGAGTCTACCTCTAGTTACTAAGTGTACAAGTCTATCATGAGGGATACATCATCGGTTGACTATGATTATGTAGAAGCCACTATCTACTTGACTTTTGAGGGTTTGTTTAGTTCGCGGACAAAATTATGCTGGGTTTATAATACAAGGATTGTAATACTGGGATTAAACCTTTGTTCCTGTTCGGAGAATTGATTGAAGGCATTGTCTCTGCGCATGTTTACTCTGGTTGACATTTGTGCGTAACTGTCCTCTCCCATTGTTCATGTAGGGCCGGTTTGAGATACTGTCATTGACTGGATCATTTATGCCATCCGAGACGGGAGGAATGAGAAACAGATCCGGCGGAATGAGTGTTTCTCTAGCAAGCCCTGATGGACGTGTTGTTGGAGGTGGAGTTGCAGGTCTACTAGTTGCTGCAAGTCCAGTGCAGGTATCGTTTCCCCTATTCTCAGTATGCATGTTTACTAAGGAATCCAAAACGAATTGTGTAGTTCGACCAATTGCAGCATGTTATCTACTCTCTTTTCTAGGTTACCCATTCAACACTAACTGTGTAACTTGAGTTGTAAAGATTATTTTACATTGTCAATTATAGTGTTCTTAAACGCGAAAAAATCCCAAAAAAAGCTAAAAAAAGACAATGCCCATGGGGCTTGAAGCAAAAAGCGACGAGAAGTGAAGTTTACACTTCTTTGAAGTGAAAGTTTCCGGAAAACTAAAGATACCAAGCATATATATGAATTTAGCACTAGAATAATCAAATTAAAACTCAAAAAACTAAGTTTAGAATCCTATATTCAGTAACGCCAATATTAATTCAGCACCTCCAAATTGAGATACAAAGAAACCACCTTTTTCCGTTCGGGCTTTGCTCGTCATTTTGAAGCGCATGGCTTCACCCATGAAGTGATAAACCCTCGCTTTGCTAAGCAATAGCTTTTAATTACACCGGGTCAGTGGACAAGAAATTAAACTACTTTGACAAATATGTACTGGTATTCTCGTGATGTTCCGAACCAAATTAGCTCACTGAATAAGTTGTTCTTCCAGTTGTAACAGTTCATATATTTCTTTCTTTGTTGCTGTCAATCAGATTGTTGTGGGCAGTTTTCTTGCTGGAAATCAACACGAGCAGACGACCAAGAAAAACAAATTGGAGCCTATAATAGCTGCTGTTCCTCTATCTAGTGCAGAAAATGAAGACTCTTATAATCACTCTTCTGCAAAACAAATTATGCCAACTTCCTCAATTAACTGGTCATCGTCGTTAGCCCCCGACTCAAGAAATAAGCCAGCTGACATCAATGTAACTCTACCTGCATAGGGTATATCTTTCACAGTTCATATTGATCCTTAATTCTCACATCCATTTGTTGTTAATTTGTCTGTCAACCTCGTACCAGAGCATGTCATTTTCCGACGAAGTTTGTGTAGTAATTTGAACTAGTTTTCCACTTAGTTCTTTTCTTTGGTCTTTTGTTGTAGAATTTTAGATGTATAATTGGTCCCAGAAATGAATTTCATCTTAGTTCAAGGCTTCATGTTTAGTTTTAGCAGGTACAATTGATCATCTTCTTTTCATGGAATGTGTGTGAACTGCTAGTCTTTTTTTTTGGTTTCCCACCCGGTGTCCGATACCTGCATTGGAGCCTGACTATATCTAGATTCGCGCCGCGTAGAGCCCCATTCGGGGGGAAGCGTTCCCTACCAAGGATTTTTCCATACACAGGGCTCGAACCCGAGACCTCTGGTTAAGGGAAGAGCAGTCTTATCCACTGCACCACATCATTTGGTGGTGTGAACGGATATAGTTGCCTGCATGGGAAGTATTTTTTTCTCTTAACCATCCGGTGTCCGAAGCTTATTTTTGGTATTAAATTTCGTATGATTTATGCAGAATTTAATACCGGAAATCAGAGGCAAGTATAAGTTGTACAACATTCTATATATTAAAATATACAGGATAGAATGACAAGTATCATGTGTACTTGTAATAGTAGGTGGATTAGATCATATAACAATCCATGAATAATTTGTTCTACACATAATAATTTCTAGTATTATTTATTTTTCACATAGCAATCCCGTATTATTTATTTTTAGTATAATATATGCATTTCGATCATTTAGGTGATAATAATTAATACATTGGTGATTTCTATGTAACACGTAGGCGATCTATGAATTCACCAGGATTTCTGTTTTATAAAAAAAAAATCCTGGTAATAACTAATAAACGATCAACCATAAATCACTGATAGAACGATACTTCCCTTCCCTAAAGCGGCTTTATTTGGGGATAATAAGTGAGAAGATATTGAAGCAAATTCTTTGCCCATCATCCTTCTCCTCTTTGCAATTTAAATAGATTGACTCTAGATTCTATTAAGGGCCTAACAACTATGTCAGAGGATTCGTTCAAGAAGTAGGAGAGGACTGGCATAAGATTTCTCACATTCCAAGAGTTGAAATACGAGAAGAGTTTTGATAATTATTACCTGTTTAGGTTGATACTTCTCGTCGTCTCATAATGTGTTGTTTTTATACTGTATTGTATTGCGTTGTTGAAGAATTGAAGCAATGCTTGGATAGAAGCATGAGTCTGCTAGTGGCCCAAAAAGGCAGGTGAAGGTCAAGGTGCTGAAAACCATTTTGATAATTATTCTTTTATTACCTGTTTAGGTTGATACTTCACTGTTTCCTACTCCAAGAAAGCATCATATTACTCAAAGAATGCCTCATGGATGGTGCAGAAAATAATCAAAGCAAAGAGACACATAGAAGAAGCAGGAATCAGCATGGATGAAATAAATGAATGGAACTATTTTTCCATAAAGAAGTGGTATAATAGAATCCGAGGGCAATATCAAAATGTAACATGGAGGAGACTAACATGCAACAATCTAGGAGCTCCAAAGTGGATGTTTATACTGAATTTAGCTATACAAAACAGGCTACTCACAAGAAGCAGACTACACGCATGGGGGATTACAGATGAAAAAAGTTGTCCTATATGCAATGAAGCAGAAGAGTCTATTGAGCATCTAATGTTTAAATGTCGAACTACTGGAGAAATCTGGAGCAAAATACTACGTTGGCAAGGAATAAGCAGAGCCCCAATGGAATGGCAAAGGGAGATACAATGGGCTGAAAACAATGCAACTGGAAGCAATGCAGCAGCTCAAGTTTACAGATTGGCTCTAGCATGTGCAGTGTATCACATATGGAATGAAAGAAACAACAGAATATTCCAAGATCACCAGAAAACAGTAGAGATGATAGTGAGGCAAATTGTAATAGAGGTAGCAATCAGAGGATCGATGAATAGAAAGATAGGAAAGAAAATAGAAGAAATAGATACTTACTGTAAAGGAGGATAGAAGGATTGTAGAAAAAGAAATGTAGAAAAAGGAATGCAACTGGAAATGCCCAGTTCCAAAAAAAATTTTGTACATATTGCTATTGGTAAATAAAATCATTTAATTACCAAAAAATTTCTAGATAACACATAGGTGAAATGTGTTTACCAAGATTTTCACTTTATAAAATATAGTTATTATAACAACTAATAATCTATCAATCAGAGATCACTTAGGCGATCATAAATAATACATGAGAGATTCTAGGTAACATATAAGCGATATATGATTTAATCGAGATCTCTCGCTAGATATAATTTTTCTTTAATAACAACTAATAAGCGATCAATTGAAGATTACTTAGGCGATAACAGGTAATACATGCGCAATTAGATAACACATATGCGATGTATGATTTCACCAGGATCAACTTCATAAAAACATAATCCTGCTAATAGCTAATAAGCGATCAACCGGAGATTCTTAGTTGATTATAAATAATACACGAGCGATCTCTAAATAATCTATAATTTTGTCAGGATTTCCAACTTTATAAAAAGATGATACTCGTAATAACTGGTAAGCGATCAACTGGAAATCACTTAGACGATTATAAATAAATAATAGATGATTTCTGGATATCACATAAACGATCTATGATTTAACCAGGATATATCACTTTATAAAAAAAGTAATCATGCGAATAACTAATAAGCGTTTATTCTTCGATTAAAAAAAAAAGTAATTACGGGAAAGTAAATGTGGGATACTTTCTCAATCAATTCTAATCTATATTCTTTCTTATCACATTTAGATATTTTGCATGTAATATAATTTTTTTTAACCTATTAATAGGGTATTAAGAAGATATGTGTCTGAAACTGATTTATAAGTGATATCCACGCTTATCATCACATATTTAAATATTATTGAGTAAATTAAAGTGAAAATTTAAAATTTCATTTTAAAAGTTTTTGAAAACTTGAAAACTCATAAATGGTTTGGCAAATTAATATTTGGTGTTTCGTTGCATATGGCATTTGGAAGTAATAATTGAAGCTATTCATAAAGAATTGAGCTATTTAATCTTTTTTTTAAAAATGAATTTCGTAGGAGAGAAAATCTAATTTTGTATACAATATTATAATAAATGTATAATATTATATTTTTGGTATATATATATATATATATATATATATATAATATATATATATTATATATATATATATATTATAATATATTGTTATAAAGAAATAATGGGTTATGTGGCTATAAACTTAAATATGGTTATACAGGTACAATATATAGTACTTATTAGTGAAAAGTAATTTTATGCAAATTTCTTGCCGAAATTGCACGGGGCGCCCTATTTGGGCGCCCCTCTTTAACTTGTAGCGCTTTGTCTTTTGTTTTGCTCCGTACCCACTTTTTAAAAAACTTCAGCTTCCCTTTATAACTGAGAAACTTCAGCTCTATAGCTGAAGTTTCCGGGTTACTAAACAAAAACTTCAGCTCTTTATAACTAGAGTTGAAGTTTCCGGGTTACTAAACAAAAACTTCAGCTCTAGAGCTGAAGCTTTTATTTATAACTAGGAAACTTCAGCTCTAGCTGAAGTTTTTATTTTATAACTGGCAAACTTCAGCTTTAGAGCTGAAGTTTTTATTTTATAACATAGAAACTTCAGCTCTAAGAGCTGAAGTTTTCCAGTTACAACACAAAAACTTCAGCTCTAGAGCTGAAGTTTTTCAGTTACAACACAAAAACTTGAAGTTTTTATTTTATAACTGGAAAACTAGAGCTGAAGTTTTTATTTTATAACTGGAAAGAGCTGAAGTTTTTGTTTTATAACTGGAAAACTTCAGCTCTAGAGCTTAAGTTTCCAGTTATAAAATAAGAACTTCAGCTGGAAAACTGCTTAAGTTTTTATTTTATAACTGGAAAACTTAAGTTGGAAACTGCTTAAGTTTTTATTTATAACTGGAAAACTTAAGCTGGAAACTGCTTAAGTTTTTATTTTATAACTGGAAAACTTAAGCTGGAAACTGCTTAAGTTTCTATTTTATAACTAGAAAACTTAAGCTCTAGAGCTTAAGTTTTTATTGTATAACTAGAAAACTTAAGCTGGAAACTGCTTAAGTTTTTATTTTATAACTGGAAAACTTAAGCTGGAAAACTGCTTAAGTTTTTCGGTTACAAAGACAAAAACTTCAGCTGAAGTTTTCCAGTACAAAAGAAAAACTTCAGCCCCGTGGGCTGAAGTTATGTGAAAAAGCGGGTACACTTACAATTTTTTTTGCCAAAGCAGACACAAGTTAAAATGTGGCACAAAAAACGGGTATATTATACATGCATTAATTATATATATTAATTGTTCCAAGAAAAAGAAAAAAGAAAAAGCAGAAAGGTAGGTCGCTAGTTCAAGAGGCGGCCTACTGTTAAGAAAAGGGTTTTAGGACTGCCTTTTGCTCAGTTGCTTTCAGAATTGGGGAAGTTTAGGGGTTTAACCGCTAGTTAATCCTGTCGCCGGCCGCCGGTCACCGCGATAAAGCCTTCTCGGCAGTTCAGCTCTTCCAACGGCCGAAACCCTCAAACCCGGTAACCATTCTTCTCTTTCTGTTCTCGAGTTCTTCCAGGCAAAATTCAATCCCCAACAACTCAATAAGTTACAAGGTAATACTCTTTACTTTCAACTTCTCTAGGTGTTCTGAACTTATTTTTTTGCTTCTGGCATTTTTAGCTTCACCTTATTTCTGGGAACAAAAAGAATACAGAGGGAAAAACTTTTTTTGTATTTATAGCAACAACTATGTTTGAATACCTGCTGTTTGACAAGTTTTTAAAATTGATAATTCTTCTTTGTTAGCTGCAGTTTAAACCATTTTTGGTTAAATAATGAACTGAATTTGACAATGTTGTGAGTGTTTGGACCAGTTAATTGCTGAGTTTTGTTAAAACCGTTGCTGGGAATTTGTGCCTTAAGAAAACTGAGTTCCTTTAAAGCAGATTTAGGTGAGAATTGGAACGTTGGAGTTGCTGAAATTGCTTAATAGTGTACAGCTGGTTTTAGACCGAATAGTTATTTACAAGTCAAGAAGGGGAGTCTCCAGATAACTGGTAGAGTTATCTCCATGTGATCACGAGGTCACGGGTTCGAGCCTCTGCACAAATGCAGGGTAAGGCTGCGTACAATAGATCCTTGTGGTCCGGCCGTTCCCCAGACTTCGCGCATAGCGGGAGCTTTAGTTGGTCATTTTTTAGCGGCCCTTCCCCAGGCTGCCCCTTAGTTGGTCATTTTTAGTTTATGGTATCCTATTACCTTAATCATATAACCTCAATGTATGGACTATTGGCTGGTGGCGAACTAGTTTTAACTTTCAAAACTTGAAAATCTACGTTCTAGTTATTATTGTATTGAATTTAATAAATTTGATGTGTATTTTTAAAAGCTAATGAAATGATTGAAAGTGATGCTTCATCGTTCAATTTTACAAAGTTTACTAATTAATAAAGGAATATGATAACTGAAGTAAACAAACAGTTCCAAAGGTGAAGCAGTTTAGCCGTTTACTTGGGCTGAAGCATTAATTTAAGGGATTTACTCGTTAATAAGCTATAATAACATTGACAAAAAGCCATATTTGATTCAATTGATATACATAAACAACACTTATTGACATGTCAACAGTCAATTTTAAATGTTTCAATAGACAATTGAAAAGTTAAAAAAATTTAAACATACTGCCAAATAAAAAATAAAGAGAAAAAAAATGAAAGAGAGTCTAAACGGGACAGGCGGGGCAGCACGGAGCTTAATAGGGCGGGGCGGGGCGGGGCGGGCAAAATTTTGAAAAAGCTAAACGAGGCGGGGCATGGTGGGTTAAAATCTTAGTGGGTCAAGACCTGCCCCGCCCTGATCCGCCTTAATTGCCATCCCTATAGATTATTTACCCTAATCCTTCTGCCAATATTATGAAGTGGTATAAGGAGTAATTGTGGTATAGTTTTTTCATTCACCTGCAGAAGATGGTAGGGCTATCTATTGGAGAAAAAAACTTTATTAAGGTGGTATTGCCCAGGATATGCGCAATGATGGTAGAAAGCGACTAACTTATCGACCAATTTATGTGGAAACAGGTGTTATTCCTCAGGTAGAAATCCTTTTCTTTTATATCAGCTTTTCGTCGTTGAATGTTTCTTTTACAACAACTCAAGCTCAATATTGAACTTTGTTGTTCTTACAAGGCAAATGGATCTGCAAGAATCAAGTTGGGTCCAACTGATGTTATTGCCGGTGTCAAGGTTTATTACAATCCAGACATTGAAACACATGTTCTATGCTATCTTGATTTTTCCTTGATAATCATCGGATGAGTAATTTTGTCATGTAAGTTGTTTCATTTGTCCTATTAAATTCTTATTTCAGGCGGAACTTGGAAAACAAGTCAAGCCGCATCCTGACCAAGGGAAAATTTATATTCACGTCGATTGCAGTCCCACAGCAGAGCCATCGTTTGAGGTTCTTACTTGGATTCAGTTTACTTGCAAGTACTTTTATCTTTTTCATAGTTATCGTAGAAAATTTGGTTTAAGCACCAATCTTAGTAATCAGTTTTTCCTGTGTGTTGATCCATGCAGGGCAGAGGAGGCGAAGAATTGTCTGCAGAACTCACAGCTGCACTTGAGGGGTGTCTTTGGGTGGTAAAAGTGGAGCAGGTATTCACTTTAAAAAGGAAAGGAAAAACCCGACTTTTGTATGAAAAAAAAATATAATGTCAAGAGCTATTGACCAACTTTAGATGTAAAGGTTACACTTGTATGCCTCTCAACTTGATAATCTTGTGGTGTATTTCATTTCGCAGGGGCTGGAATAGATCCGTTGTCTCTCTCAATCAAAGAAGGAAAAGTATGTTGGGATCTGTATATTGATTGCCTTGTCATTAGTTCTGGCGGGAATTTGCTGGACGCACTAGGTGCTGCAATCAAGGTATACTCTACAGCATTTGTCATCATGTATTAACAAGGAAAAAGAGGATGAAAATTACTTGCTTTGACTGTTTTTAGAGATGCTGTGATACTTGAGAATGCTACATGAATGCACTACTCCCCTTATTCTGACCGGGGGCTGAGGTAGGAGCCTAAGATACGGGTTCAGCCGAACCTAGTAGCCTTTGTTCAAACACAGTATTTTATTAAGAAATTGATTAAACGCGTACACGTTAAAAGTTTTGAACCTAGTTATTAGCACTTGAAGTCTAAAAGCCAAAACCCATTAAGTTAAAATTTTGGCTCGCCTCTGATTATGATTAATCAAGAAGCTTTTGCAAGGAAAGATGGGAATGTAGAAAGAAAATATATTAAATGAGACTTTTGACATTGTGAGTGAGCAGTGATGCAGTTGGCGATGGATGCATCTGTTAATAATGTCTTATTATCTCTATGCCTGATGTTCTTCAGGCTGCACTGAGCAATACGGGTATTCCGAGAGTTCAGGTTCGTGAAGCTGCTTCATCCGATGAGCAAGCAGATGTGGATGTTAGTGATGACGAATTTCTGCAATTTGACACCAGCGGAATACCAGTCATAGTTACTTTGATAAAGGTAATTGAAGCCAGCCTTTTATTTTGAGCTTTCTCGCGCAACTGCCGCTCTACATGTGACATTGACCTTTTCCCGTCAATAATTGTAGGTTGGAAGGCACTACATTGTCGATGCAACTTCAGAGGAGGAGTCCCTAATGAACTCGGCTGTTTCTATATCTGTTAATAGACAAGGTTAGTATGTGGGTTGACCAAACGAGGAGGCACCGGATTAGACCCTAGTGTCATACTTGACATAGATATCTGTGGCAAAACATGTAAGCGAGCAGCTAGTCAAAGCTTGATTCGGAGATAGAAGCTGCCGAAAAAGCTCATGAAGATGAACCATGACATAGCTCAAAGATTACCTAGATATAGTAGTTCAACCTCACTAATTTTTGTTTGCAAAGTGCAAATAGACTTCTGAATGCTTTGTAGAGGTGAACCAAACTTTGTCATATCAATTCTATAGTGGTGTTCATGTGATCATTTGTAAGAGTTAGTGATAGTTTGGAATTTAGTTTTGAAGCACTTTCGCTTTGATAGTCTTCTTGATCAGGTGGTTTGATGCTTATTTGTA